AATGTTCCATTACCTTCTATTGCCTCCTACAGTGTTCTATTACCTATTCAACCAGTTTCTAAACAAAATCTAGAACATTCTCAGTCACACGGAAGTGGTAAACAAGTCGTATGCGACACCGCTGTTATCAAAGTTTTCAATAATCAACATCCTTACCCTGTTTCCCTGCTCATCTGTTTTGGGTGCACCTGGGAAGATATGTAAATATATGCATATTAGACTATATTAATAATAATATTGTTTATTGCATCTGTAAAAATACAAGTTTCTATCAGTATGTAGCAATAACAATTTACATAAATATGAAATGAAAAAAAAGCAGCATGTTGAAAGCAGTATGAATATAGTGTACAACATTGATTGATGTACAAATGTCATTAGTCTGCATTAGGTATATAAATTTGTCAATATTTTTAATAATTTGTGTTGGAAAGTTAATTTGGGAAAGTAGGTATTGGGGTATAATCAGAAAATGTATGTCATCTTCAACAAGATTTACTATCACACTGTTTCTGTTCAATGATTGTTTTTTGGGATGTGTATATCTGCCTCTTTCAATATGCAAATCATGGTTGCTGGTCCTAAGTTTGGCCATCCTAATTGTATGTTTTATTTCACCAATAGATAAGTATGGTTCATAGAAGTAATCTTTTTTTAAATTCAACAAATGTCCTAGCTATATGTATGAGATGATTATTTACAAGACCAATGTACTTTTTAAATCTCTTCACCACTATCACATACCACGATGAGACGACGTAGTGCATTTCAGTCATGTGACCCAATGGGTATTCATATATTGGTAAAATTTACCTAAATATTAACTACACAAATTAACCTTGGTCCAAACTCACAAACCTACTAAAACATTAAGCTGAATGGTATTTCATGACATGCCAATCCTTGCATAATATTTTGATCATATAGTGATATAAATTTCTTGAATGTATTTTGTTTCATCAATTTGTTTTCAATTGGTTTTTCGCCCTCAGCAGCTTAAATTTATGAATAACTTATAAAATTTACAAATATAATAATTATAACTTATAATAATTTAAATAAATAACTATAATAAGTGAGACATTGTTACAAAACGTAAATAATTTAAACAGGTATATTATTTTTGATATTAAGTAATCAAACGACTTACCAAAATCAAAGACAGCAAATACACCACCAAGTCCTAATGATCCAAACGTAACAATAAACGCCCACTTCTGCGCTCTTGCGAATCCACTTTTCCCTTTCTTCTTTTTAGCCTCTTCCTTTGCCTTTTGCTCTTGTTTCCATTCTTCTTCGGCCTGCTTCAAGATCGAACCAAGGGGTTGAGTAGAACCGGGTGTAGCCGCAGGACCGTCCTTCCCCGGTCCCGATGTGTATAACCTACACGCGGTTCTGATATATCGATTATTGGTGAGAAAGTCATTTAAGGTAATGCATCTGGTATTAAATTGTCTAACAATGCGCGGAACTGGTTGTGAAACATGATGATAGTGTCTTGCACATGGCGAGAAAAGTATTTTCCTGAACGTCGCCATTTTGAAATAGCACTATACATTTTGTGGGTGGGGGTGGATGAACAATGATGACTTGTCTGTTTAGTATTCAAATGCCATATAGTTTAGCAAAGAAAATTGCATTTCCATATTTTTGATTTAGTATAAATATAAATAATGTCTAGAATTGAATGGCTTTGAACTGTGAATCACCGTTTTACAATCAACTCATCAATTCAATTACTTACCCCCTGCTCCAGCCATGGTTTTGTCTGATGGGTTTCCCCAACTCCCGGTAGGCCGCAAGAGGGCGCTACAACTAAAATATTATTTCACAGACTATCATATAGACAAATGCAGTTATAAGTTCAGAGCCGATGTCCAGCGATACGTTTGCCTGATATTTTTTTTTTTATATTATTTCTTCGCGTGTATAAATAAGTATTTCCATAATTCCTCAATGTGTGTATTCAACTATCGGTCAATGAAGAAAACCCAGAAAGCCCAAAAAATCATCCGTATTTCCCCAAAGATTTACTCATTCCCAAACAATTTAATTTGTAGATCAGCGCTGTAGATCCAAAAGTTATACGTGGTTATATCTGCATCACAGATTGCATAACAAGAAGTTTTGACCGTTCCTCTTCGACATTGGGGGGGGGGCTAAAGCTGTTTCAGGCCGCTACCTACCTACCTACCTACCTTAGGAAATAAAAATATTACGACTCGCGGTAACTCAATATTTTCACCACCGGCATTTGCAACTGTTGGAGACTTATGTTCACATACACAAGCCAAGGTATTCCAATTAGAAAAAAATACGACTCAGATACTCGTGTATTTAAAGAAAAAAAGAAACATGACCGGGATTCTAATATAAAAAGTTTATATGCGTGAATTATTTTATTAAAAAAATGTTATATTGCGAGACCATTAATCGGCAATAACTTTTGATTTTAGAAATAAATAAATGATACATTGCTAAATATACATGTCGATCATGTTAGCGCATTAATATCAATCATAGTTACACGAATATTATCCTTTATAAGTTAAAATATGCAATAATAAAAAAGCCTAATTCTGCGCAACGTTTACTTTGACAATTGTCAATACTTTTCTCATTCTTTGTTAGGGACATAATGTACATACATTGAGAAATGTTAGCGTATAAAGAGTGGTGTACGTAAGATAAATACTCTGGACTCCCTGGTACACTGAAATCCAATAGGTTTTTGTCCATGATCGGATTCTGAATATTGACTTCGAAATCTAAATCTCCTAAATGGCGTCGGGTTACAATGATGAATAACCAAATTATGATTTGGGACATTAGTCATATTTATAATAATAATAACGTATGTCATCAACAGACCGTTTTAGTGTATGGTAATGTACATTTCACTCAACCTTGGAACAGCGACATTTTTATTAAACAAATAGTTTGCATTATCATAGTTAATTGATTCCATCAATTAGAATTTAATGTACTCGTGATTATATCAAATTGACATATTTAGCTTTCTCTTTAAAAGAGAAATTCATTTTTTTTAAACAAAATATTACCTTTCCGGCACTGGGCAGCAACGTACATTTCATCTTTGGGAGTATTACGGCTAATGGCTAACTTAAGGTAGAGATGCAGGTCCGTGGGCACTTTGGAGTGAATTTTTTTTTTTGCTTTTTATTATCCAAAAAGTCTATAGACTGTTGAAATTTTGTAGAATTGTGAATAGTGGAACATACTCAAAAAACGATTTTAAAATATAGATAACAGGTGCAAAATTATCTTATTTGAATGCTTAGCAAGATTTAGCAAGGCCTCTCTACATGTGTGCATACATGTGATCATGTGCTCGGAGAGCTAAATACGTGTGTACTAACAATTATGGACAATCTGTCGATAACAAAACATGTCAGAGAGGGAAAAAACAAATGTCATATATCGAACTGATTGACTCTCACCCAGTTATAGAGTTGACGGCCCGAATAAACGATCGAGGGCAGTACAGACACAGGTATGTACATATTTGGGAAATTTCTTCCAATCTGGGATTTGTGGCTTTCGAACCACATACTTGATTCAATCGCCACCCTAATGCCAAGGCATGTATTTCCACATCTCAAGCCGGGATTTTTTTCAAATTTGGTGTTTGAAATACTACATCTATCCCCTGACTTTTTGATTTAAAACTCTACAAACAATTCTTATCTACTAAAATCTAACTAATTTTCTGGTACTTTATCAATTCCGAGACGGTTTATTTTTAATTTAATTTTTATTTTTTGTTACATAGGTCGCACCAATAATGTGCGCTGGATAATTTTTTTTTTCTTCACAGTTGTTTATTACTCACTATACATTGATTTACTGAAGCGAGTTGTATCAAAGAACAAACTCGAGTCTTGATCGACTTATGTGATTCCACGGAGTGGAAGATTCGTTTTATGTGATATGCTTTGCTACTGTTATTATCATTCAATTATTATGTGATTTTCCCTATCTTATTGGAGATGTTTTGTATTTGCGACGTCATCAATTTGTGTTCATTCCTGTTTCTGGAAATTCTAATACAGGAGTTACCATGGGACTAGTCAGGTGACAAGAGTGCATATAAATTGGAACAAAATTGAACTCTTGCCCCGTGACTTTGACTAAACTCTTGTCAAGTTGATTTAACTTATTGTGCAGTGTGTAAAAGTAGAATTGTAGTTGTCGTTTTTGTCATATAATGAATAAGCCTACCTTTGGAGTAGTTGCAAATATTCTGAAATACACTGCGTTGCATTGATTATATGCCACATTCGCAGTATCGGTGGTGAGACCGGTACTGAATTTCACATATGCTCGACAAACCACAATGATGTTATAACATATTAACAAATCAACATTGCCAATTTAACTAAATAAATTAGTAAATCTATATGGTATACAAATAATTTATCCGTCATTTATAAATATTTGTTGTGAACTATAATTATTGTAAATAATCATAATGTGTATAAGTTGTCACATATTATTTTTAACATATAACTGAATATAAATGTTTTTTGAAATATATAAGTGCGTTAATAATAACAACCCTCCTTCGCCACATACATTGTAGATATGTGACTGTTACTTGCAATTACATTTGTTTCAATCACAAATATTAATTATGAGGTGGATGTACATACATCTTGCTTAATTCATTAGATTAATTAATTAGTATACGGAAAATTAATGTGTTGGTAAAAATCAATAAGTTTTGGACACGACGGTGATCCAGTGATTAATGTTGTCCCTGTTATGACCACTGACCACTACAAAATATTCTTGCAGCCTCATCCCCTCACTTGATTGATTGATTTATTGATTGATTGGGAAGTGCGCATGTGCATGGTTTAATTTCAGTAAAAAATATCTTTCATTCATGTGTTTATTACCAGTTAATTTAGCATATTCAAATGTCTGGTTGCTGTAAGCGTAAAACTAAGATTATTCAATGTCAGGTTGACCTGACCATTAACATCTGACCACATATTTTAATTCACTGCCCCAATCGAGTATCAACTAATGACTCACACACATTATCGAACTACGACTTTGAATGTCAACTAGTGTTTTTTATTATAGTTTTATAGAAAAGCAGACATATTTCATATACAATCCTGTCTAATCTGGATCTGCAACCAAAATCAAATCATTCATACAAAAATATACAATGAGATCAGTAATTAGTAATGACGTCGTAAACAATCATCGTGCATCAAGTAAAAGCAATTGAATGTTATAAAAATGTATGCTCTAGAAAGAAAACGTGATTTGATGATTTGAGAGAGATATTGTTGACATA